GGCAAAACTAGCCAGCGAAATGAGAATTGTCATATTAAGACAACGAAATCCTTAACAAGAACCCTTCAGGTGTTATTTGTGCTTGTTGGGGTGAGGGCGATCGGTACAGCTGTAGACTGGTGGAAGTTTGTGTTAGGTGCTAAGCTAATAATGCTGAGTGAGCTCGGCATATACACACACAAAAGCTAAACGTTTACTTCCAGAATTAGGCAGTATACAGAGAGGTTAACCAATTTTACTTCCAAATTGTGAGTACAACAGAATAAGCACCGGAGAATAGACAACATAATTCGGAGCTAAATGGAATAAAAATGAACATTTATGTGTTCTATTTCTTCCCTCTCCTTGCATTACCTATTACCAGCAATCTGCTTTGTGTAATATTGCAAAGAGGGTAACTGACATGCAAATGTCAACATACTTCAAACCTTTTTGGGCATTTAACATGTATATGCAAGATGAGAGATTGGGTTGTGCAGTTCCCCAAATAGTTGGATCTAAATACCACGGGCAGATCATTGATCGAATTCCCTCCTTCAAAAGAAGGAAGCAGTCTAATGCCAGTAAACATTTAAATGCAACATGGTATCAAATGAGCACAACATTTTACTTTCGAGCGGTAAATCAATACACATTTCCCAACCAAACAACCCCATAGAGATACTATGCAACATTTTGATAAACTACACTTCAATTCCAATCTAGTTGGGTTCGGCTATATGAATCCTTTATATCCATTCCACTCTATCCAAGCCAAATTCCTTCTAATACAAAATTTTGTCTTTTAAGGATAACTTAGTGGCATATAACTGTGACACGCTGGAAAAAGAATATAGTGCCACTAATAATAACAAATTCAAAATTTTGCATCACATTTAAAGAACAAAGTACAAAACTAACAAACTATACCAAACAACACAAAAGAAAGCAATAATTTTACGTCTACAATGGCAAATCATTATATAGCTCTTTCAATTATTAAAAAATTAACATCAAATCCATAAGAATCAGGGTCAGGATGCAATTACTTGGTGCTTTGTAAGACGTCTACGGATGGCTCTGGTCTTCTTGGGACGAAGGTCGAGAGGCAAGTACTTCTTATTCTTATATGCTTCCCTTAGTGCTGACTTCTGCCTCTGCGATATCACCGTCAACACCTGTGCTACTGACAGCCTTACCACCTTTCTGCATTAGAAAAAGGTGAACCATTTCAATAAATGAGTCAGTTTCACATATATGTCAACACGGACAGATGCAGCTTCGTGGAAGCAAGTGTACACCACCACTTTAGGTTCAACTATGTATATCCATATAAAAGACAACTAAGGCTCTATCCAACCAAACTGACCAAACTGAGGCCGACTATGTGAGACCTCACTGTTCATGATCCACACCAAGTGTTTATATCAAACCAATACAACTTACCATGGTTAAGTGATTTAATAGAGTAAAAATACATGTTGATTAATCATGGTCAAGTAAAAAAGTCTATGTACAAACATATGGCATAGATGTATTGAATTGGTGAAAACACCCAATACGGATAAGTTTTCACCCTGTTCATGAGGTTCCATTTAAGCTCAACTCAGTCAATCCAACTCTATATAGTTGATTTTTTTTATAAAACAGAGATTTTTACTGTGTTGTTGTAAAAGAATAGCACGGGCAGTCCTACTCTACACCTACTGATTTCAAATTATAGATCCCCTCTGTGACGATAACCAATTGTTGATGTATATCATATTTATACTCTGCATCAACTGGTTTCAAATTCTTTTATTAACTTTGTGTATTACTAATACCTTGTTTAATGTACTTTTTCAACCTATGCATACCTAATACACTCTATTAGCATGGTTAAAGAAACAATTACTCCTCGTAGAAATTATGCAATGCATGTTATTTTTAATACATCAAACCAAACTGTGCATAAGAAATAATCGTAACTAATATCAGCATAACAAACATTAATAATACAACACTCTATTCATCACTATTCTTATAGTGCCACCGGAAATTTCAAATTCTAGATCCGTTTCTAATTTAATTTAATACAAAGACGCAAAAAATGAATAGAAATTTTACATTTTAGAGAGCTTGTTGGGGGCACCGCCAGTGACTTTAGCAACACGGAGGAGAGCGAGTTCAGTTTTGAGATCCTTCAACTGACCCAAAAGATCAGCCTTGGATTTCTGCCTCAATTCGTGAACTTTGATCCTTGCTACAAAAAAAGAAGAAGAGGAAAATACTCAGTAATTAACAAAATGTAATGCGAATGATGAAAATGAAAATGGAAGTTCTTAGCTTGTACTTACCCATGGCGCTTCTCTCACAGGTTCACTCTTCTCACACTGAAGAGAATTCCGAAACCCTAGGAGATGTTAAAATTCAGAAACCCCCTAAATTGATAGGATGAGCTGTATGGGCTATGAAGCTTATGGGCTTGTATATATTTAAGGAAAATAATTAAAATATAAACTTATCTAATCATATTCTCTAAAATTTTCTACCATTTGAAAAAAAGAGAAGTAAATTTTAGGAATAACAAATATAAAAATTATATTATCGTTGTATAGCTACAATATTGATATTTGCGCTCCATAGCCAAATTATGTTTGCTAAGGAACATCTGATTTGTATAAATCGCGGTGATTTGTATAACTAGGATGCTAATTTGTCTGTCTATGAAAATTGTGTTTGTATATGTATATGTTTTCTATGTAAGGCTAGAGCGGCGAGCGAGATTGGAAAAAAGAGGAGAGTGGTGAGCGAGAGAGGACAAAGAGTGTAGAGAGGTGAATTGTATATGTATATCAATTAGATAATTATATTTATGTAACTACTATGTATATGTATCTATGATTGTGTTTGCATATATGCATACAATTTGAATTCGTATACAATTGAATTGAGTTAAAACATTTGTATTTGTATATCAAATCCCTCTCTTTTGCTTTATACAAACACAAATTATACAGTGTATTTTGTATAGTTTGTGTTTGTATAAAGCGAGAGAGAGAAAAAGACAAAAGAGAACTGACAGGAGAAGATTTGTATTTGTATAATTATAAGTGTATCGGACAGAGAGATATGTATTTGTATTTGTATATACAATCTTCTCGCTTATACAAACACAAACACAAACTATACATATGTGTTTGTATAAAGTGAGAGTGGCGAGGGAGAGATGACTGAAAAAGAGGAGAGTGGCGAGCGAGATTTCAGAGAGAGGAGAGAGAGTCGAATGACAAAAAGTTTGCTGCGAATTGAAATTAAATGAAACTATAGCTATAACATTTATTTTGAATTAATAGTTTGTTATAATGCACAATTTTTCCTTTGAAAAAATTACAAAAATCTCTACTCTCTTCTATTCTCGAATACATCACTTTACTCGATGTATCAGTTGAATACATCACTTTACGTGATGTATCGGGACGTACACGATGTATCGAGACGTTGAGTGATGTATTCGAACTCGAGACGCGATGTATCTCGATATTTTGGATGCATCTAGATTCCACCAAATTTAAGGAATTTTTGTAATTTGGAAAATAATATGGATAAAATGTAATTAACTCTTAACACTATGAAATTTGTGTAAAATTTCCTACTTTTAATGCCCCATATATGGGATAAAGATGATAAATAAGAGGGAAAATTACACATACATTCATACCATATTATAATTGGCAAAAGGCATAAATTGCCCCCTAAACAAAAACCCTAAATTTTCACCCAAAAATCTGAATCAAGAACCCTAAATTCAAACATAATTCAAAATTCCTTCTTTTGAATCAAAGGTAACTCTTTTTCATTATTATTCATTCATCTCTTTTCCATTTTGATTCATTTCTCTCTTTTTCATTTTGATTTGTTTCTATCTATTTCGTATTTTGAATTTTTAGTTGTTTGATTCGCGGTAATTCTTATTAAGGTGCTACAATGGCTCGAATAAGCTTGACTAAGCTATGTTTACAAGAGGAAGATCATGAATTGGAAGAGGTGCGATGCAAACACGGATTTGTTTTGCCTTTGCTGACCTCTTGGACCCCGAGAAATTCTAGTAGAAGATATTGGGGTTGTCCTTACCATGGGGTAAGTTAATCTTTTTTAAGAGTTGCATAATTCGTTTTGTTGTTTCAAGAGCCATAGAATGATTCGTTTTGTTTTTTAAGTAATGCTAGTTCATGCGATTTTTGGCTTTGGAAAGATGATTATATTGATCCAAGATCCAAATTTGTGATTCCCAAGTTGTTGGGAAGAATTGCGGAGCTTTGAACATAGTGTTGAATCTTCTCGAAAAGTTGAACTTCGGATAAGGAAATCAACAAGCCTACTAAGTCGACCAAATCCATGGAAAGCAAAATAGTTATGAACAAGAAGGAGTCAAAAATGGGCAATTTTGATGATGATTTGAAGAAGATGAAAGCAGTTGATAGGAAATGGAAAAAAAAATTGGCCAAGTCCAAGAAAAGGGAGAAACAACTTTGGATTGCTCTGTTGTGTGTTTGTATTTTAGGTGTAAGTTTAGTATTTCAAAGAGTATTGTTTCTGAAAGGAGAAGGACATTCAAGGAAATTGTCATGATCTCTTATTGTACCAAAAATTTGCAATATTGTGTTGAACTTGTAAGGCTTTTGTGTAATGAAAAGAATTTACAAAGATTTCCTTATCTTAATTTGTCTCATTTATTGTTGCAAGTATTGCCTTTTGTATTTGGTCATAAACTATATATTTAGTGTGTACAACTATCTGCTCAACTGTCTAAACTATACGTTTGTGTAGCCACTGCTTAAGTAGTCACTTATTGCCCTCCATAAACACAAAAACCATCACTAAAAGAGAAGCAATATTGTTACATAAACAGACATTCATAACTGCATAATCATTAATCAAAATAGAAGTTAATATATGTCAAAGCAGTTACATAATCAAACACCACAAATCAAAATGCAGTCACAACTGCAATTCATTGTCTTAAATATAAGGGTACTAAATAGGGATAAAGTGCATTGCATTGTCTATCACCCAACAAAACAAATGTCTACATTGCATTACCAACAAAAATCTACCAAAACAAGTTAGATTGCATTAGAGCTCTCTAGGCTCAAATGTGCAGCCTTAGACCTAGTCTCCATTTGTTTTCTTCCCCTCATCTCTTCAAGTTGGCTTGAGGCCATAGCTTGTTTTCCCTTCCATTTCACACCACATGGTGGTTTATGTCCAAGATCTCCAGTGACAACTGCTGAAGACTTCACATTTCTAAATCTTTTACTAGGCATTCCAGGATGTTCAAATGAATATTAATAATCTTAATTTGTGATTAAAGAAAAAATAATAAATGATATTTAAGTATAGAAATAGGGAACTTACATTAATAATAGTAGCACCACTTTGTGTGTGTAGTGCACTCATTCCAACCATTCTTGTTTTAATAGCAACACTACCCTAAAAAATAACAAAATATTCAGTAAAACAACTTATTTATAACTTATACATGAAGTAAATAAAGGAAACTATATCACCTTTTCTGTTGAACCCTTTGGTCTACCCCTTCCTCTTTTAGTTGGAGCATTAGGTGTTGCTCTTGGGCCAACAATTTGTGTTGATGTTGGTGCAGCAGCAGGGACAACAGTTTATGTTGATGTTGGTGCAGCAGCAGGGCCAGAAGGAGGTCTTGAACTTGGTGCAGCAGGGCCAAAAGGAGGTCTTGAACTTGGTCCAGCAGCAGGTCTTGAACTTGGTCCAGCAGTAAAGCTTGTGCCAGAAGCAGGTGCACCAAGAGGACACTTTCTTTTATTGTGACCCTTGTTATGACAAGTGCTGCATGACATCTCAATCCCTCTTTTGGATAATTTTCCAGTTTTACTGGTTTCACCTTGCTTTTTCTTCCTTTTCTTGCCAGGCCTTCCTGGCATCTTCCTAATATGAGGTCGTATCATAGAGATGTTTTGTGATTCTGGCCATATTTTCAGATTCATAACTGGCTGAATGAAGTAGTTGTATGTCTTCATGTATGTTTCTCTGTTATACCAATGAGAAATGTAGTTGATTGGGTCCAATTTCCTATGGTGAA